TTTAGGTCATGTTCTTTCATACACCACACCCTAGTACAACTTAAAAAATAATAGAAATAATGAAAGAGATTACACATTGAAAAGTATTATGGTGAGAATTAAAATATGAAATGCTTTGTATGCACAATATCAATTTATCTTGGGATTGTCTTTTCCAGTAACATCCTCAATAAACCTTTATCTCTACTGCTACAAAGTTCTCACTCCATAACCAACAAGTGTCCCTTCGTTTATCTGACTGCTGCTCCTTCACTGGTGTTTCACTGACTTATCCAGACTGTCCTTAGGGACAAGGTACAGGTAACATAAAGGGTTCGTGGTACTTGTTTACACAACACTCTAAAGAATAGAGGATGAGAAGACACTAAGGTAGGTAGAGAATTTTAGCAATTATTGCAAACAACTCTCCTTTATATTACACAACATAAGTGTGGACGTCTTCCTCTGTGTCACTAATATTTTCTTGTCAATTTGTCCACTGGGCAAAGCCTTTCGAACTTGTGTCTTTGCATATATAAGGTGCATTGAGTATATTAGTGCATCCTGTCTATACTTTTTGATGGCTTCATAATAAGTCATTCCCTTCAACATCCTCTTACTGTTGGTTATTCTCTTCTCTTAATTTTGTCTCACTTTTATTCATACACATAGATTATGGGTTGTTATAAACAACAGTATATTTGTCCTGTCTTTTAAAGTTCCTAACAATACTGTTCTGAATGTTATCACATGACTAATCTGTGTATTAAATTATATTCATTATAATTAGTTATGTTTTTGGGACAGAATCTTATCTATAGCTCATATGGACTTGAAACTTACTATGTAAACCATGCTGGCATCAAACTCATGGCTAATCTCCTGTTTCCGTCCCTAGAGTGCTGCAACTACAGATGTAACCACCACATCTGGCTACACATTTTATTTTTAAAAATTAAAATATATGTTGTCCCCTGGAATTTTTTTGTGCTGAACACAGATTCATTAAGATTTGTTCATGCAGCTGCACATGGCTACTCTCCACTCATCTTTTGTTCCTCTAGAACATTTTCTTTGTACATACAGCAATTTATCTGTTCTATTGACCACTGTCATTTAGATTATTCATAATTTTTGCTGTATAAATAGAGTTTTCTGCCAGTATTTATGCTCATTCCTCCTGTGCACAGTAAATTGTGGGAGAAGTTCTATAACTAGGAATACGATTGTTGAGTTGGGTTGGCCCCGTTCAGCTTTCACACATCATGCTGGGACCGTGGGAAGAGAGAGTGACAACATGTGTTCACATAAACAGTATATATAAGCTATAATTAAAGCATAGCAATTGACAATGACAATGCAGAAAACGTGACTCTGATTTCATTTTTTATTCACCTTTCTTGATTTCTAGAGTCAGAACAACTCTTTAGATGTTTCTAAGCTGATGTGTTTCATAGTTTGAAATGAAGGGTTGCTTCCATTTTCTATTGGCTTTTATTGTTGAGTTCTAAGCTTTCCTTACATACTTTTTCTATTGTTCTTTGTTTTGTTGTTGTTTTGAGCTGTAAGCATTCTTTACACCCTCTCTTTCCTTTCTCTCTGCAGGTATTTGTGTAGTACATACATGTGGATGCATGTGTGTGCATGCATGCACCCATATACATGCGTGCCGAAGCCAAAGAAATGTAAGCAATAAATCATTATGGTAAATTTTTAGTACGAAGTGTGCTTAACTCATCAAAGACTCACAGATAAGTAGAAAAAATGAGGCTTCCCTTCTGCCTTCACTGGGACTGATGCTGGCTAGTCTCAACATCCCGAGAGCTGGAAGTGGCAGACAGTCTGCTTCGTGACTGCAGGGCAGACATCCTTATTAAGAAAGGGGTGTAGTCTCAAGCCCCAGGATGTTTATCAGATAAGGCTTTGCACCCTGAACCAATAGGACGCTCCTAGAGGGTAAAGATTGTAACTCACTAGAGTACCAGTCTGAGGGCAGAAAATTTTTGGGATCAGGAACTTTAAAATCACTGTCTGTCTCCGGCCAAATCAACATCTCTATGCTGGTGTCCTTTCTGCAGAACCAAAAGCTGTTTCACTTTTGCTAGTCTCCTGAGTTTGTAGTTAAGGAGGTGAGGATCTTGTTTCTCACAGAGGGATGTCAGCCAGCTGTCTTGCGCTATCACATTCTCCCTCATCCCCCTGAGATACAGTCCCTCACTGAACCTAGAGCTGGACAGCTGGCAAACCTCAGCAATCTTCTTGTCTTTAAGGACCCTTTCGACTCCACAGCACTGGGCTAGCAGGCATGCTTAGCTATGCTGGCTAAGGTGCTAGGGATTTGAACTCAGGTCCTCATGCTTGCACACAGAGCGATCACCAGTTCCCACTGGACTATTTCCCCAGTCCCTCCTTACATAGATGTAAGGGTATTGAGTACTTTCAGTTGTGAAATATGTGACCAATATCTTCCCCCAAGTAGAACTTACTTTTAAAACTTTTTAAAAATTTGTCTTCTTGCCAGGTGGTGGTGCATGCATTTAATCCCAGCACTTGGGAGGCAGAGGCAAGCGGCTCTGAGTTTGAGACCAGCCTGGGCTACAGAGTGGGTACCAAGACAGGCCTCAAAGCTACACGAGAAACCCTGTATCAGGAAAAAAAAAAAAACCAAAAAACAAACAAAAAAAAAAGAAAAAGAAAAAAATTGTCTTCTCATGAACCAGATTTATTAATTCCATGTAAGTTATCAATCATCTTAGAACCAATACAAAAACCACACTTTTATTTCATATTTAAATTTTTGCATTTTGACATCAAGATCTTAAACTATGTTTACTTTAGCTGTAAAGAAGTTCACTGAATTGCACAGACTTTGATCAGTTTAGTTTTAATGTGTGAGGATAATGTTTATTTGTAAGTTTTTTAAAAATATAGTTTATAAAATAAAAATAGGTCTTAAACTATATGCAGTTTGTTTCTGTATAATGTGTAGTATGAAAGTCCATTTGAACGCTTTTCTTAAAAATAATCAATATTTCAGGTAAGTTGGCTGAAAAGGTCCCTTCTTTTTCACCATCATCTGCCATGCTACCTCTGTTCTGTGTCTAAACTCCACTGATCTGTGCCTCTCCTTCAATGCTCCCCCTTCTGAGCACTGCCTTTTCATCCCCTGTTTTGGGGTACTGAGTTTAAACATAGGTATCAATTATTAGTATATTTAACAAAGGGACTATGTTAAATTATGAAGAGTATTCCATTGGCTAATGAGGAAAGTATGTGATGAATTAAAGATTGTGATTGATCTAACTTTTGGACTTAGGTCCACCAAAGAGATAAAAGCAATAAATAATATCACAAAGACCTGTACTATGTGAATTCTTTTTTCTCTCCCAATTCCTGGGTCAGCCTTCCAGTGACACAGTGACTGAGCCAGCGAGTACAGATGAGCTCAGCAGTTATGTCTGATTTTGAATCTTAAGCCAGCGATGTCCTCACTTCTTTTTATTCTACTCTACATGTGACCTCCCGTCAGCTCTGTCTTCTGCCACACCCAAGTAATAAGTGTCCTCTGCAGGCTCTTAATATCTACTAAGGTGGGCCCTGCAGTTGGCACGGTTCCACATTATAGTGGTGCCTTTACATTGTCTTCGACTGTCTCTTCTGTTTAAAAAAATATAATATTTATTCTTTAAGATTTTATGCATGTATACAGCATACTTTGTTTATATTCTCTCCCTGAGTCCCTCCAGCTCCTTCTGGACTCTCTCCAACATGCACTCCCTTCATGTTCAGTCTATCTGACTATCTGTTTGTCTATCTATCTGTCTATCTGTTATCTATCTATCTATCTATCTATCTATCTAATCTATGTCTCATCTATCTATATTTTATATTTCATCTATCTACCTTACTCCCTCCTTTCTCTCCCCACCTCCCATAACTCACTGAGCCTAATTAGTGTTGCCCATTTATGCATGAGTATGGACCACCCATGGGAATATGGTCAACCTGTCAGGGACCACACCCTTAAAGAAAACCAAGTCTCTCTGCCCCAGCAGCCATCAACTGTCAATAGCTCTTCAACTAGGGGTGGGAGTTCATTCTCTTTTATTTTCATTATGGATACACATATCCTGGCTAGTCTGCACTTTCTACACATGTGTTCAGAACTTAGTCTGACATCTTCATCATTTTTTGGTTCTATCTATCACCCTTCTCTACCCTCTCCGTCCCCCTCCTGCTCCTCCCAGAACGCAGTAGTTCCATGAACTACCTATGCATCAGAAGATGACCCTCAACTGGCTGTATGGCCAGTTCTTGAACTCATTATCCTTTCTCTTCATCTCCACAAATCCTGGGATTACAGGTTGAGGAAGCAAGATGAGAATGTCTCACTGAGAAAAACAAGGCTGGAAATCCAAGCAGAGACAGAGGAGGAAAGAAGGTGGAGTCAGGGAGACACCATGTAGCTGCTGAAGGAGAAAAATGCCAGAAACTTACCAGTAAGCCTCAGCCTCATGGCGATACACAGATGAACAGAAATGGGTTAATTTAAGATATAAGAGTTAGCTAGGAATATGTGTGAGTTGTTGGCTAAACAGTGTTGTAATTAATATAGTTTTGTGTGTGATTATTTGTGTCTGGGTGGCCAGAAAACAAAAGTACAGTCTCCGTTTACAACAGGTGTGTACCATCACATCTTACTTTTGGCTCCTTATTTTCAAGACAATTTCCCAGTTACCATAGCAGCCCCTGCTGTCCTCCCTTGACTCTTCTCATGTCTGTGTATTGAGTTTTCTTCCTTATATCATTAGTTACCAGGTATCTGTTTCTCCTCACACAGCAAATTTGGAACTTAGATCTTGTTCATATATGTATTTTAATCATCTGCAACAGTACTTTAAACATGGCCAATGCTTTATAAGATTTCAAGAATATCGTTATGAACATAGGACATGGTGCCTGTCAATACGTGTGCTGGGTGACTGACTAGAAGACACAAAGGGACCCGTGGTATACTCAACAGTTTTTGCTGTCTGTTCCACTGGATGTCTGGACATAGTTGAGGCCTTTAGTCGTCATGCTGGAATTGCTGGCTGAAAGATAAAATTACTTTCAGAATCCAACTGTTTTTTCTTATGAAACTGTAATTTTGCTTTGATGCACTGTTTTTTTATCTGTGTGACTTCGGGGACGCGTGAAATGTCCTTCCTCCTCAGACACTGGCTGTTCTGAGGCTGACGCTCTGTGATTTATGTTTAATGTCAACTTTTTATTGGCAGTTTCCCTTTTTCTAACCTTGTAACTGGGTTACTATTATTACCTTAAAATCCCTTGACAAATGAAAGGTATGCTGTAATGCAGGCCATCCCAGTTTACTGTTAAGATTATAGTGATCATCACATCCTTATGTGGTCACTGCCGGGTAACTCTAAATCAGCTGGAAAACATGGATTTTTCCCAAACCTCAAAGTCTTAGACATAGTAGTAAGATGAGGAGTTGTTGAACATGAAGCATGGGAAAAAGCCCGCTACTCTCCCTGGGGAGTTGCATCTGGTGTTGACACATCCCCACCTACAATGGCCATTGAAGACATACCTAGATATCCTGTTTGTAAAACAAAATTTACAAATTGCTTTAAGTATTTATAGTCACATGTTTAATGACGACACTAAACAAGAGAGTCTTTGGGAGGAATCTAAGAAGGCACATATCTAATGGCTTCATTTTAAATATGGAAAAAATCTGAACAGGTTACACAACAAATATTCAGATCATTCCTTTGCTACTAACACAGTTCTAAATTCAAATCTATTATATTCATTTTCCAAACACATATTGATTCAATATCTGCTTTGTACCGAACACTATTCTAGGTGCTAGGGTTGTGGCAATAAGTGAAGTCAAGGTTTCTGCTTCACAAAATTTACCTTACAATGAATTTTCATAAGGATAAAATATTTTCACCTGCTAACGATGGTTTCCTATTTACTTTGATTTTTCGCTGAAAATGAATTTTCGTAAGAATATATTTTCACATACTATATTTTGCATTTATTTAAATTCTTAGCTTACAAAGTTGTCTTTACAACACACCCTTTTCTTCCTTTTTGTCTCCCTGGTCACATATGAAAATATGGCCCACGGTTGCTTATAACATGAATGCTTCTAGGGAGAGGAGGCAAGATAGATGAAGGAAGAAGAGCATCCAACCACACTCTGTTGAAAACATGTCTACATCTTCTCAGGTGGCACATTTTTCGTCTATTTTGGGTGTGTGTATTTCTCCTTTGTTCCCACACACACCTAAGATGTCTTAGGTAAATACACGTAAAAGAAATGAAACAGTGAGTAAAAAGAGGAAATAAGGGTGGAGAGAACAGGGCAAGGTGGGCTCTGCTGAAACCAGGATAGGGATAGAACACAGTGTGCATCTCTTGATACTTTGTTACTTTAGCAGATAGAGTCCCACATTCGCCGCAGGAATTTTCTAGGTTACATGATAGGAAAGAAACAGCATATATTATTTGATTGATGTGCATTAAAAGGCAACATAAGTCAGTTTTGGAGAGTTATTCTTTTTACCACAGTTGAGAAAAAGATTTTCCAAGTTCTTGTATGATGACTGTTGTGTAAGTTGTACAATGTCCTCAACAACATCCTTGCAGTACGATAGCAGCGGGCTGTGTTTATGCATGCGGCTCTGAGTAGAGAACACTGTACAGTGTCCTCAACAACACCCTTGCAGTAAGATAGAGAGGGCTGTGTTTATGCATGCGGCTCTGAGTAGAGAACGGTGTGCCAGCTTCCAGAGTGCCTCGATGTTAGAAAAATTATCTTAACCACTGAGCCATCTCCCCAGCTCTGGAAAAATTTTTAACTGGATAAAATGAATAATGAATTTTTTGAAAAAAAATGTGTATGGTAAATAAATTGGTGCATGGTTTACACGTAGTTCACATGCAGAGATGTCCACAGCGAATGTTTCTGCAATGCAGCCCAAAGAGATTCAATGTCATGTATTCCTCCATATAAACTGCCATAGACAGGGGAGCTCTTAGGAGATGCCTTATGCTACTTGGAAATTTGAATAGGCAGCAATGTCAGAAAGGGAAGACCTGGGGTGGGGAGGACCTCAGCTCAGTCATGTGTACTGACTTATGCGAATGTTTCTGAACCCATTCAGAGCTCAACATCTTTCACAGGCAAAACTCTGGCTTTTGTCAAGGGCTTAGAGCACAGGAAGCCCCCAGGAAACAAGAGTCAGCGAAACCTGGTCTCTCTGTCCACGTGGTTTCAGGTTTACTGGTCTTCCCCTTGGTTTTGTTATCATTCTTGGCCTGTACAACTTTGCATAGGTCATTGAAAGAATGAGTCATTCACTATGGGCCTTATTAACCACAGAGAGGTAGAGTTGAGTCCACCTGGGTAAACAATTGTTTTCTAAGTAAATTCAACCCACTCTCCTTCCTGCGGGTTAACACCACGGCTCAGGATTGAGGTCTGCTCACAAGCCACAGCCACACTTTGACCAGTCATAGTCAACCCCCTGCAGGCACTCTTTGTCCGACAAACATTTGAGGGCTTGTATCTCTTAGGTGATGGAGGAAGGTCATTGGCTAATAAAGGCACTGCCCTGGCCCATTTTATTGGTTAGAAGATAGGTGGGAGGAGAAAACAGGACAGAACACTGGGAGGAAGAGGAAGTGAGGTCAGAGACTCCACAGCTCTGCTCTCCGGAGCAGACGCCTCAGCAGAGACGCCATGCCCTGCTCCCGGGATGAAGCTCCGACCCAGGATGGACTAGGCTAGAATCTCCCCAGTAAGCGCACCTTGGGGTGCTACACACAGATGATTAGGAATGGGCTAAATTAATATGTGAGAATTAGCCTAGAAGAGAATGGGCCAAGCAGTGATTAAAAGAATACAGTTTGTGTGTTGTTATTTCGGAGCATAAGCTAGCCATGTGGGCGGCCGGGTGTGGGGGACGCAGCCCTGCCGCCCCATATTACTACATATGGCGCCCACGTGGACAACTGCTTCCACATAAAGCCTGAGACAGCTTGGGAAGTAATTCTAGAACAAAATGAAAGCATTGTGCCTGGTTTCTTGGTAGCAGCAATTTCTCGGGTCTACTCTGCTTGCCAGAGGCAAGCAAGCGCCTCATCTAAGAGAGGCTTCCTGACTCAGCTTTAGCTGCAAAGCCTGCAGCTCATTAAGAGGTCCTGCCACGAAACACTTAAACGGTGTTGACGAAAAGCTGAACGCATGCTTTTCGGTTTTCAGCCTTAGCAGGAAAAAAGCTGCGCCATTTAAAAATGCCGGCTTTCTGGGCTGTCCTGCCAGGGCAAACTCTGACTGTTTGAGGCAGGAGGGCCGGCTACCGAGAGAGGATTTGAGTATTGTCTGTTGTAGCTCACTTGCTGGCAGGGACCTTGAAATGCCATACAGTTGTTGCAGTAAACATGGCTACAGCCTGTACATCCGCCATGAGGCTGGAAAGCTAAGGAATGGTCTGGATCTAGCTGGCAAAGCCACGCCTTTAGTCCTACTGAGATTGCTTGGTAAATTAAAGATTCATGTGGTCAGAAAAAGAGAGATATACAGTAAAGAGAGATTCAAAGACAAAGAAAATTTTTAAATGGTTTACAGTGTGTTAAAAATATTTGCAGACTAAAAGTTGAAGTTCTTAAAGTAAAAAACAAAAAAAAAAAAGAAAGAGAGTTGTGTGTGGTAGCACACGCCTTTAATCCCAGTGCCTAGAAGGCAGAGGCAAACAGACCTCTGTGAGTTCAAGGTGTAGTAGTTTACACCTTTAATCCCGAATGCCTGGGAGGCAGAGACAGGCGGATCTCTGAGAGTTCAAAGACAGCCTGGTCTACAGAGTTACTTCAGGTCAAAGATACAGAGAACCTGTCTCAAAAAGCAAAAAGTTAAAAGTAAAAATAAATGAAATAGAGGTTAAAACAAAGGTGTAATAAGATGGAAAATAAACAGAGAATTTTGATACTGTATGCTATTATGCTCTCTTTGAATTGTTTGAATGCTGAGGAAGGACAAACAACTGCTAAAAGATATTTGTTTATAAATGCTGCTGAACTAATCCAACATAGATACTTTGAAAATGCCTTAAATTTGAAATTTGGATCTAAAGACATGATACTTTGGAAAGGAGTTTCTTATTTTGTTTTCACAGAGGATGAGACGCTGTTCATTTCTTCTATTCCGATTTGGTATGATGGACCACGCCCTCCTGAAGGGTTGGTGTGAATGCCTTCAAAAAATTGCTTCGCTCAACTGCCAACTGAGATGAAACTAGCACACAGGTTATACCATGAAAGACCAAATTAACGACGCCCCCATTCAGCAGGAAGCAGTTTGGAGAGAAATAACTGCGCCCAAATTCCCAAAAAATGTTTATAAATGTTCTTTTACTTTTAAAGGGGGATATATGATATAGGTATGAATAATTTGCATTAGTATAGATTTTGCTTTATTGATAGAGATTTACTGTCAATTTTGTTATATGTATAAGTGTTTCTGATTTTGATTAAGGTATTGTGATTGTGTAGTTCATTTAAATATGTACTGTATAATTAAGAAATATAGGTTGTTAATGGATAATCATTGATAATAGTAAAGCTTGTAGTCATGTTAGTTAGATTTTCTAGATATATAGAGATGTATTTCAGTTAGATAGACATTCTTCATGTCTTTCAAAGATTACAGAATAGGACATTTAATGTTTTAATAACTTAGGACTTTTCATGACAATGAGACACTCTGCTCCTGGCAGCACCAATCTACTTCAAGAGGAAGATGGGCATCGAAGAGGCACCTTATGGAGTTTGATAGCCATTTGGGCAAGAAACTGCTCTTGCCTGGACTACTGCATAAACTGGACACAGAGAACCCGCAGAGAGAGGACTACTGAACTTGCCTAAGGTGAGATGATCTTTCGGGGTTCCTGATTCATTTTGAAAGAGTCTGCGAGATATTCTGCAGGACACAACAGATAGTGACTGAACTGACTTTGAATTTTCCTGCTTTATGGAAATGTCTCCTGGATACCATGGGCCTGAAGGCTGAAGATGG